TTTACAGGTAATGGGGATCCCCTCCACCACCACCAGTGTGCAGCCCCACCTGGATGATGCGACGGCAGCCATAGTGCGCCAGAACGCTCCCCACACCCCAGCTCTCAGTGGGGAGGAGAGCAGAGTAATGAAGCCAATTCATAGAGGGGGGTTATTAGGAGGCCATGATTGGTAAGGGCCAGGGGGGAAATTTGGCCAGGACACCGGGGTAACACCCCGGTGTACACCCCGAGGTACTGACCAGGCTCACACCTGCTGAGCTCCAGTGGGGCTGCCAGTTGTGAGTTGCAGGGTGATATGGCTTATGTTGAGAACTCATTTCCCGTAAGAATGCACAGATGTTGGGGGTTGAAGATATTTCCGTCTAAGTAAAACCAAATTACGTTGGGTCATACAGGAGGTTTATAGTTTTTCCATCTGTCCATCCTTTTTCTTACTGCTTCTTCCAGCTGAGGGGCACGGGGGAGTCGGAGTCTATCCCGACAAGCAGTGGGCACAAGGGCGGGGTACACCCTGGGTGAGACACCAGTCCATTACAGGACACTCACACACACTCACGCCAAGGGCAGTTTTCCCAGAAGCCACCAGCTTGTCTTCGGACAGTGGGACGAAACCCACGCAAATGCAGGAAGAACATGCAAACTCCACCCAGACAGCACCCCCCAGCGCTGTGAGGCAGCAATGCCCACCAAAGATGCTTTCTGTTCTGATTTTTAATGCTGATCAATGCGATTACAACTGTGCAGGAGAGCCTTGTCGCTGGAGGGCAGCGAGTGGTTGGTGAACCACCTTCGGTTCCCAGCGAGCCCTTGAAACGCTGTTTCATTTAAAGTCTCGTGAGCGCCGTTGCAAACCTGGTGAAGCTCAAGGAGTAAGTGGAGGTCTTGAGACGAGCTGCCCGGTGGTCCTCTTGTCCCACAAGCAGTGTTACTGGTGCCGAATTCTGACTCGCCCCCGCCTCCGTCTGTACCAGGTACGTTGCACATCCAGCTGGTCGCTGGCTCGTTAAACCAGAACTAGCTGTGTCCGAAATCAAGAAAGGGGTGGAAATTCTTGAGGAGGTTTAAACCGCCTCGAGGCCTGCTTCCCTTTAACTCTTGAACCTTACCTGCTCGGTCCCGGGTCCTTCTGGTGAAACCCGAGTCCTACGGTTTGTGGGGGTACCTGCGTTTTGGGGCGGGGGAGACCCTTCTTGCATGAGCCCCAGAAACCGGTGATTCTGAATTCCAACAGCAAGAAAAGCTGCGCCACTCGACGAGAGTTTTGCTTGAATTGCTCAGGTACAGGTCTGTGGGTCATTTTGACCAAACAATGTTTGTTTGTTTTTTAGTCCAAGGCAAGTGAAATCCTTCTGTGACTGCCCTACAATAATCCAGGTGTCTTTCACCTCCCTCTGCTTTCACACCTAACTAGAATAATAATAATTGCTTACACTTATATAGCGCTTTTCTGGACACTCAAAGCGCTTTACAGGTCATGGGGATCCCTCTCCACCCCCAGCAGTGTGTTCCCCCACCTGGGTGAGGCGCCAGTCCGCTCCCCACACCCCAGCTCTAAGTGGGGAGGAGAGCAGAGTGATGGAGCCAGTTCAGAGAGGGGGGTTATTAGGAGGCCATGATGGGTAAAGGCCAGGGGGGAAATTTGGCCAGGACACCGGGGTAACACCCCTACTCTTCTTTAGAAACACCCTGGGGTTTTTAATGACCACAGAGAGTCAGGACCTCGGTTTTACGTCTCATCAGAAGGACGGCGCCTCTTTACAGTCTGGTGTCCCCCGTCACTATACTGGGGCATCAGGACCCACACAGACCGCAGGGTGAGCGCCCCCTGCTGGCCCCACTAACACCTCTTCCAGCAGCAGCAGCCTCAGCTTTCCCAGGAGTCTCCCCCTCCAGGTACTGGCCAGGCTCCCACCTGCTGTCTCTCCAGTGGGGCTGCCAGTGGTGAGCTGCAGGGTGATATGGCTGCTGACCTAGAACTAGAAGCTAGAACTAAAAACTAGAACCAGCTTTGAGGAGTCAGGACCCCAGCCCTGAAATGTCCTGCACCTGAGCACCTACGTGGACGTTGAGCAGTTGTCACCTGTGAATATTCCCATGGGGTTGTACAGTAAATACGTGACCCACGTGTGCTGAAGACAAATATATTTAACCACCATTGAAGTATTGTACAATCAGAACATGTTCGGTGGAGAATGGGACATTATGTTAGACCAAGGTTCCCAAGTAAGACACTGGTCTGCTCATTTCAGGAAAGTAGGTATATGGTGATAAAGCAAGACTGTGTACCTAGATCTGTCCAAGTCTCAATGCCTATGTACAGCATTTGACTGTAATAGTGTGGATATATTTCAAACAGCCTGAAAAAAGCCGTCTTTCCACTGGGAAACAGGCCAGAAATGTCCGTTTGGTTTCTGGAGATGTTCAGAGTAAGATCGGGGAAGGTTTTTAAATCCATCACCGTTCCAATGTCCTTGTGTAAGGGAACACTCTATGAAAGAATTAGAAACTGCATAAAATGCTCTGTAAGACGTATTACTTTTTCGTAGCAAGTGTTTACGCGACACGGATCACTATGTGAGTTTTAAACTTTTCTCCCCAGCTCTTTAACCGTTCAGCAGAATACTCGCATAAGTTACTGTGATGGATCACTTTTTGCGAGTAACTTGCCATCACAGTCTAAAAAATAAATCGCACAGCCCCTGTGAGTTATGGGAATGCATGCTTTTCGTGCTCTCTTGCCAATCTGCCCTTGACAGAGCTGGCACAGGAACACGTCAAGGCTGAAATGTTAATGCCCAGAATTCCTCGTGACTGCGGGCCTATGAAATGTGTTGGGAGGATCTTCACTTCCTTCCTGCTGATGGGCAGACGTCAACCAAGACAGTAATGTCCTCTCGTCCTCCGTCTGTGGATTAAGAAAGCGAGAGAGAGGGGGAGAGAGAGAGAGGGATGTCTGTGCTTTCACAGCCTCCCTGATTGGTCGTACCAAAGCAGAAGAAGGAGGCTCGGAGCACAGGGCGCCCTTTATTGTGACCGAGAAAACATTTTGTTTTTCGAAAGGACAGAAGAAAACCCGCAACAAGTCCAGTCCTGTACAGTTCGCCAGTCGCTGGTCGCCGGTTTTGCATTCCGGATCGTCTATCCCCGCATGCAGATCCCGTCTTTATGCCTGGACTGCGCTCTTCCAGCCACGGATAACCCCCCCCCTTGCTGGCCGCCCGCCCGCCAGCCCACCGGACTGGCCGATCCTCGGCCCGGGGCGATTCCGAGACGGGATTCCCGCGATCCGCCCTTTCCCCAGCTCTTCGTTCCCTTCTCCCCACGACAGCTGGGGGGGGGGAGGGGAGATCGGTTGGTTTGGCACCCCCCAAAAGGCTGGAGACCTCGCTGGCCGCCTCCACACTCTCTCTCTCTCTCTCTCTCTCTCTCGCCGGCCCGACTGAACGTCCCCAGCTTCCCTGAACCCGCTCACCTCACTTTGGACGAACGGGCACCCCTTTCCCAGAAACCCCCCCCTCTCGCCTCGTTCCCTCGGCTCGTCGGCCCAGAACCACCCGGCTTAGGGGGGGGTGCGCAGCACGATTTGGGGGCATCCCTTCCCCCCGCGGACGAGACCGCGTGACGGTCCCGGGACAGGAGGGGGGGGGCGGCTGTTCAGACGGTGCTGCTGCTGGTTTTCGAGGGGCAGTAGGAGGGGCGGGCGCTGGGGTGGGGCTTGCCCCACTGCCTCTTGTCCCAGCGGCAGAACAGGAGCATCCGGAAGGTGACCCGGAAGGACTTGCTGCACAGGGCGTAGCACATGGGGTTGACGGTGCTGTTGACGTAGCAGAGCCAGTAGCCCAGCTGCCAGAGGGTGTCGGGCACGCACTTGTCGCAGAAGGGGGAGACCAGCACCATGATGTTGTAGGGCGTCCAGGTCAGGATGAAGGCCAGCAGGATGGCGCTCAGGGTCCTGGCCGCCTTCTTCTCCTTGATCAGGGACTGGCTCCGGCGCTTCTGCCTCTTGGGCGAGCCGGGGGACGAGCGGGCCAGGGAGGACAGGTTGAGGCTGTCCCTCGGGGAGGAGGAAGAGGAGTTGCCGGAGCCCGAGGCCCGCACCCGGGCCAGGCCGGGATCCGAGACGCCTCCCCCCCCGGCCTCCGCCGGGGCGCCGCCGCGGCCCGCCCGGATCAGGGGCACCCGGGCCACCATGGCGTAGACCCCCTTCGCCTCCCGCTGGGGTTCCCCCTCCGAGGAAGAGTCCTCCGAGCCTTCCTCCTCCCCGTTCCAGTTCCCGTTCCTGTTGGCCTCCCGGTAGGTCCTCTCGCCCTGCTGCGGCGGAGCCTTCCTCCTCCTCCTCCTCCTCATCCTCCTCCTCTCCTCCAGCGGCTGCTTGGGCCGCAGGAGACAGCAGCCCGGGGGCTCTCCTCTTCCCCGGCCCGGGCTCTGGGGCCCGGCGGGGCTCTCGCAGCTGCTACTGCTGCTACTGCTGCTGGTGGTGGTGGTCCCGCTGCTGGCGCTGGCCCGCGGCTGGGGTCCAGGCGGTGGCGGCGGCGGCGCCGCCCCCCGGGCCTGCGAGCCCAGGAGGCCGGGCAGCTCCCTCGCCCGGTTCTCCGTCTCCCGGTACACCCGCCAGTAGAGGATGATCATGATGGTGACCGGGAGGTAGAAGGCGGCGATGGCCGTGCCGAAGGTGATGATGGGCTGGGAGAAGAACTGGATGGAGCACTCCTCCGGCGGCACCGTCCTGGTGCCCTCGGCGTACTGCCAGAAGAGGATGGCGGGGGCCCACAGGACGAAGGAGATGGCCCAGGCCAGGCCGATCATGATGGCCGCCCTGCGGGGGGTCCGCTTGGCCCGGTAGGTCAGGGGCCGCGTGACGGAGAAGAAGCGGTCGAAGCTGATGACCAGCAGGTTCATGACCGAGGCGTTGCTGGCCACGTAGTCCAGGGCCAGCCAGAGGTCGCAGGCCAGGTTGCCCAGCGTCCAGCGGCCCGTGATGATGTAGGTGGTGTACAGGTTCATGGAGACGGCCCCCAGCACCAGGTCGGCGCAGGCCAGGCTCAGCAGGAAGTAGTTGTTGACCGTGCGCAGGTGGCTGTTGACCCGGAAGGCGATCATGACCAGCAGGTTGCCGACGATGGTGACCAGGGACAGGGAGCCCGTGACGAAGGCGATCAGGACCACCTCCCACACGGCGTGGCCCCCCAGGGGGTCGGCCGAGCTGGAGTTGGAGGACGCGGCGGAGGAGGAGGAGTTTGTGAGGTTGGGGTGGGCGGGGACGGGGGTGTGGTAGGGGTGGGGCAGTGGCATGGTGGGCGGGGCAGGGGGCGGGGTGAGAACTCTGGGCCGGCCCTGCTACGGGAGAGAGGAAAGAGGAGGGGATGTAGCCTGGGGCCTCATCTTCCCAAGAGCCAGTGAGCTTCTACGCAGACGTCTGGGGGGTGGGGCTCGACGCCCCCTCTGATCACTGGGGCCGATCTGCACGGGAGAAAAGAAACACAGTGGAATTAACGGCGGTCATCTGGCCGAGGTCACCTCGCGGCCCAATTCTGAACCCTGTAATGCTTCTACAGCAGCTGTTTTGAGCAGTCTCTGCGTGACTGGGATCTCTAGCCTCCTTCAGTTTCTTTTTTACTGCCTCCAGCAGAATCCACAGGAGTTTGGAATTAAGGAGGCGAAACGGATCCCGTTCAGTCCTGGGTCCTGGTTCTGGAGCGGTCAGAACGGGTCTCTGTCCAGCTCAGATCTTAGGATCAGATCACGTTATCAGCCCTGTACAATTTCTTGCATCAGGGATGTGTCTTTTCGCAGACCCCAGCTTGCTCTCCAGGAGACACACAGACAGAGAGAGAGAAGCTGGGGGTCAGAGCGCAGGGTCGGCCATTTATACGGCGCCCCTGGAGCAGCTGGGGTGAAGGGCCTTGCTCAGGGGCCCAACGGAGTAGGATCCCTCTGCTGGCTGTGGGATTTGAACCAGCAACCTCCTAGCCAGAGGTGCAGCCACTGCTACCCGGACCAGCTCACTCTGAGCTGAATTATTGACTCCGGAGGTTCTCCACAGACCTGTTCCCAGAACGAGGTTCACTGCTGCCTCGTTTCGCTCAGCAAATAACCCGAACAGATGCTGTGCCTTTGTGCATCGCTTTCAGATCGGATGCTTGTCACCTCTTGTTCAGAATTCCACGAAAATCGGTTTGACGTCTCATCCGAAGGACGGCGCCTGTTTACACTCTAGTGTCCCCCGTCACTATACTGGGGCATCAGGACCCACACGGACCGCAGGGTGAGCGCCCCCTGCTGGCCCCACTAACACCTCTTCCAGCAGCAGCCTCAGTTTTTCCCAGGAGTCTCCCCTCCAGGTACTGGCCAGGCTCCCACCTGCTGAGTCTCCAGTGGGGCTGCCAGCGTCTGTAGGTTTCAGGGTGGCTGTCGAGTCCTGTTGCGTTTCCCGCAGTTCTCGGGTGTGTAATAGAGATTTTTTTTCACTGCACAAGCTTGGTCTGGCCCACCGACGGACTACAGACTTATTGATAAATAACGCCGAGCCGGCGAGTCAAAAAAAAAAAAAACTCCCTCTTCTGAGTCCGCTTGGAATATTTGGTAGTGCTGCTACGCAGACTGGCCACAAGGTGGCACCATAAGCTCTTTAATAACTAGATAAGTCTGTGGCGCTGCGTGTACTTGAACTGGTTAATTTACCGCACTGGAAACGAAGGAAAAATAATACGTATGTGACCGCACATTGGTCTCTCTTCCCCTGATGACCAAATTATAGATTTAGTTGGGGGAGACTGTAACTTTAGAACTAGTTAAATCACTAGGGTAGACTGGTGGCTCTGTGGCTGAGGATCCGCTGCTGTGGCTGGGGAGGTTGCCGGTTCGAATCCCGCGTCAGATAGAGGAATCCTACTCCGTGGTGCCCCTGAGCGAGGCCCTTCACCCCAGCTGCTCCAGGGGTGCTGTATAAATGGCTGACCCTGCGCTCTGACCCCCAGCTTCTCTCTCCCTGTCTGTGTGTCTCATGGAGAGCAAGCTGGGGTCTGTGAAAAGACACGTTCCTAATGCAGGACATTGTATAGGGCTGATACAGTGATCTAATCTTAGAAGAGCCGAGAGCTGATCTTTAGTTAAAAAAAAGATCACTAGTGAAAAAGCCCCACTGGAGCTCAGCAGGTGTGAGCCGGGCCAGTACCTGGAGGGGAGACTCCTGGGAAAAACCTAAGGTTGCTGCCACCCAAATTCGAGGCTCATTCTCTTATTTTTAGAGTCTGGAAAAGAACCCCCCAAGGTTTTTAAAGCGCATCAACACGTCTTTTAGCTTCCGGTAGTTTCCCGCCTGTGAAACTTTTTTTCACATCTCAATTCGTCATTAAACTTGATCAGTTGACCCCCCCCGCCCTCATCGACCGTCCAGGCTGCAGTTTCGGAGCAGGTGCGTTTTTAAAAGCGAGCAACAGGGGGCGCTGTGTCACACGAGGCGCCGGCCAAGGAGGGGAGCGGTTGTAAACCAAGCAGACGTCGACATTGGCCAAACACAGCCGGCGGATTTATCACTCTCGGTGGAAAAGCGCGCAGCGTGATTTAACAACAGTCTGCCAGTTTGGGGTTTGTTTGTTTTTTGCGTAATAGAGGGAGGGAAAAAATGTCGCAAATAAAAACAAAAGAAAAGTATTAATTTCGTGCGAAGCGAGCGCCGGGCTATGAATCAATTTAAAGGGCCGGGGTGATTCATGGGCGCTGAAGAGTGACACAGTCCAGACTCGCACGCTGACGGCGCCGCCGGTGCGGACACGCTGCAGGCAGGAGCCGGGGGCTGGAGATTCCTTCAGCCCTTCTGGGAGCAGGGACTGTCCCCTCCCCTCCTGCACACAGAGCGGCGAATATCGGACACAACACCACTGCCTCACACAGTGTCTC